CCGCGAGATCGTGACCTGGCTGAAGTCGGACGCTTAACCGACTGCGCCACCCAGGCGCCCCTATTAGAGATTTTCTATAGTGATTTTAATTCCTGCATTGTGGACCAGAGCTCCCACTACCCTTCTCTCTTCCTTCCTCCTGCAGTAGACCTCTTCTACTTTCTTCACTCATTTCCTCACCTCTGCTTCTCCCCGCCCTCCCCTCCCATCATCAACCCTGAAGTCAGGCCTCTAAATTGCTTCATCAAGGCCAGGAGCTGGCTTCAAGTTCAGCTTTACCCTTTGACCAGCTGTGTGACATCAGACAAATTCCTTAATCTCTCCAAGCATGGTGCCTCGTGAGAAAAAAATTCTGAAAGAAGTACTCACAATCTGCCCATTCCTAGCAGTTCAGCAAGGAGCCGTCACTATCTGCCAAGGCCCATACTTTATAGGTGTACTTACCAATAATTCCCAAACAGGAAATCAGAGTACTGACCCTGAAGCAGGTGTGAAGAAAAGCCACTCTGGACATAAATGGTGTCCTTGATGCCAAACACAAAGACAATGGGCCTGCTTATGAATGTGATTTTACTTCTTCCATCTTAAAATAAACCAAAATAAAATCCTTTTTCTTCCCCCTAGCCTCTCTTCTTTGGCTAGCTACGGCCTCATTAGTTTACTCCCCTTCTCAGCAAAACTCCAGGAAAATGGTTGTCTGTGCTTGCTGTCTCCAGCTCCTCTCCTCTCACTCTGTCTGAAACCAGCAAGGTTTTGCCCCTCACAGTCCACACACACACTGTTCCTGGTAAGGTCACCAGTGGCCTCTAAGCTGCAGTGTGACATCAGTTTTCCTGGTCAACCTTGCTGATGGTCCCTTCTCTTTAATGAGCTTTCTCTACTCGGCTCACAGGGTGCCACGCTCTCCTGGGACAACCTCCTCGTCGCTCCTTTGAGGCTTCCTTTTTCTCTCCAGCTTCTAAACACTAGGGTATCCCAGAGTCGGTCCATTCTTAAACTTTTCTCCGTCTAAACTCACTCACTTAGTGATCTCATCTAATCGAATGGCTTGGAATATCATCTGTGTTCCAAAACTCCCCAACTTGTGTCTCAGGCTCAGACCTCATTCTTTAATTCTAGACTCAAATATTCAACTGCCTGTGCGGCATCTCCATTTAAATGTTCGTAGATGACACAAATCTAATATATCCAAAACTGAACTTCCTCTTTTCCTCCAAAACCAATTCTACTTGTAGCCTGCCTTATTTCAGTTGATAGCAGCTCCATCTTTCCAGCTGCTCAGACCAAAAGCCTTAGAGTCTTCCTTGATCCTCCTTCTCACACACACACTACATGCGATGCATTAGGAAATTCTTTTGGCTCTGTTTAGAAAATTCATGCTCTGGCCCCACATGATGTGGTTCCTTGTCCCCTCTTTGATCCTCTCCTACTATTCTCTCCCCTTCCTCTCTCGGTTCCAGCCACCACTGCCTCATTTCTGTAGTTCAAATATGCTAGTCCCTCCCACCACAGGGCCTTTGCACTGGTTCTTCCTTCTATCTACTCTGCTCTGCCCTCAGCTTCCCAGAGCTCACTGTCACCTCCCTCAGGTCTTTGTTTAAATGTCACCTTCTCAACAAAGATTTCTATGACCACCCTACATAAAATTGCATCTGTAACTCTCTTAAGCCACTCTATTTTTTTTCAGTATTTTTTTCATTATCTTTTAACATCTTACATAGTTACTCATTATCTCTGTGGCTTATTTTTTTATTTTTATCTCCCCTACTAGAGTACAAATGGCATGAAAGCAGGGAACTTCCTTAGTTGTTCACTGATACATCGCAAACACCTTTAACAGTGCCTAGTATACAATAAATGCTCCATATACATTACTGAAGTGATTGAATGAATCAGGTAAAGACTACAAATCTTATATGCTGCAAAACAACCGAATGTGACTTTTGCACGTCCTGTATAAAATCCTTCCTCAGAGGTCTTCAGGAAACTTGTTTATTGCCTCGTTCCCCCATGCATGTGCATATGTCTGTAACAAAGTTTCAACAATCTTTTTCTTTAGTTCTCACTTCAGGGGCTGATTAAATGAATCAAATGAAAAAACATATGTAAAGAGGACTTGGGTTTAGTAAGACACAATGTAAATTGGAGAAATAATTATGATTTCTGTGTGATACCTCCTATGCTATGTCCTTGGTGACGAATGAGAGGATCACAGTGCTAAACAGTCAATAAATTCTTATTTAATTGGATTGCTGAGAGGTGTGATGGAACATTGATTCATTTGTGGTAAACACAATGAGAATTATGATTCAGACAGTCACTACAGATTGCCCTATTAGTCCACAAAGACTATAATTGCAGAAGGCAAGGACAGAATGAACTATAACTCAGGACAACACCTGACATTTACAAAGAGGAAATGAGACTTTACACAGCCAATAGCAAACGTGTGGATCTTATTGCTCCCAGAGGAGGTGCACACTAAAAATATAAATGGGAGGAATATGACGGTAGCTACATTCCAGGCTGAGAGGCCATCTGGGGTTACAGCCCCTCCTTTCAAGCATAGCTTAGGGGAGAACACCCAGCTTATCCACCACCTGTTCATCAGTGTCAATGTCAGAAACAGAGCCTGGTCTATCTGGCTCAGGACCGGTTCTTAGGGCCCTAAAGGAGTTCTCACAGGAGACTGCTGGGCTGGTTGGAGACGGTAGGGGTGTGTGTGGTGGAAGAGGAACATGATTAGTGGGGGTCTATGGCTGGTGGCCTGGCAGTGGGATGGGGATTGTCTGTCTCTCAGGATCTGTCCTCACAGAGTCAGAAGTCAGGGTGGGGCAGAAGCAGGCCCAGTCAAGTGGCCACTGCCTGGCATGTATCTATTCTGGAGTTAGCTCAAATGCTAGCTTGGGGGACTCCCCAATAGAAGTGATAGAAGTAACATGGAACGCAGTACTAGCAAACTATTTGGACAGGGGAGTCCTTATAAGGTGTGTGTGTGTGTGTGTGTGTGTGTGTGTGTGTGTGTGTGTGTGTTCATTCCACTGTACTAGTGACCTGCTCATTTTTAAAAAGAAAAGAAATATTGGGTGGGAGAATGGGCTAAATGGGTGATGGGCATTAAGGAGGGCACTTGTTGGGATGAGTACTGGATGTTAGATGTATGTGATGAATCACTAAATTCTACTCCTGAAATCATTATTACACTATATGTTAACTAACTTGGATCTAAATAAAATTTTTTAAAAAAGGTCTATATGATCATATGTTGGTGAGGATGTGGAGAAAAAGGCACCCTCGTGCACTATTGGTGGGAATGCAAACTGGTGGAGCCAATGCACTGGTGGAGCATGACAGTTTGGAGGTTCCTCCAAAAGTTAAAAATAGAACTACCATAAGATCCAGTAATCACACTACTAGGTATTTACCCAAAGAATACAAAAACACTAATTCAACGGGATACACATACACTGATGTTATAGCAGTATCATTTACAATAGCTAAGACATGGAAGCAGCCCAAGTGTCCATTGACTGACAGATGAATGGATAAAGAAGATGTGGTGTATAGGTACAATGGAATATTATTCAGCCACAAAGAAGAATGAAATCTTGTTTGCAACAACATGGATGGATCTAGAGGGTATTAGGCTAAGTGAAATAAGCCAATCAGAGGAAGACAAATATCATAGGATTTCACTCATGCTGAATTTAAGAAACAAAACAAACAAAAGCAAGAAAAGAGAGAGAGTGCATGAGAGAAAACAAGAAACATACTCTTAACTATAGAGAACAAACTGATGGTTTACAGAGGAGATGTGGGTGGGGAGATGGGTAAAATGAGAAAAAAAGAAGCATTTATAAGGGTGCAAATTTCCTCTTCATTTTTCTTCTCCTAGCTCTGCTAATACAACCATGGTTTGCTTATGCTGTAATTACCCCTGAGGTTGTTTTCATGTAGTTTGAGATTTGGGGGGGAATAAAAGTGTGAAGGAAAAAAAAAAGAACAGAAATAGTAGAGCCAGGCAACTTGACTTTGCCACTTTTGAGACGAAGACTTTGGGCAAATTGCTTGATGTTTTGGAACCTCAATTTCCTCATGTTAAGTGGGGTAATAATAATATCCAACTCAGAAGGTTGTTGCGAGAATCAATAAGGCAATATAACATATGGCGCCTCCCATGTACTAGCCATTCAATAAGTGAGAGCTGCAAAGAAGGGAACTGAAGTCTGAAGGGTTGGCAGCCCCCACCTTGGAACATGTCTGTGGATGCCTCACAGAGTTCTGAGACACCAACTGCCCACTGCCAGGCCAGTTCAGAAAAGCTTTCTTGAACACTTACTGTGTTCATGGTACTGTCCTTTGGAGCCCGAGAATAGAGAGAAGGGGAAGCCCAGATTTCTACTCAAAGAGTTAGGAAAGGAAAGACAGAAAGGAAACCAGATCATGAGAACAGGGAGCAATATATGCACCAGTCAGCAGAAGTAAAAAGAATAGAAAGGCACACAGACAGGAACAATAAGCTTTGGGATAGAAGCTGATGAGGTCAGTCTGGGCAGGCTTCAGAGGAAGTAAGATGCCATAGCCTCATTTAGAGGGGGGAAATGCATTTCAGGCAGAAGGTACAGAGGGGGGCAAGCATAGCTGTTGCAAAACAAGTGGATGTATTTAGGGAAGTACTAGTCATTCAGTGTGACCAGAATGAGCAAAAAGTGGGAAGGGGAGAGGGGCTGGAGATGTGGCTGGATATCACAAAAGGTCTTAAGGAGTGTGGGTTTTTATTTTGTGATCACTGGGTTTTAGGCATAGGAGTGACATGGCCCACTATCAGGGGTTAGGACCTCCCTGTCCCACCCCACCCACCTCTGCCAGCAGCCCACGCACTCTTTCCACAGGAGAGCGCTCCCACACCTAGCATCACATTGGCGGTGGTTCAGAGAACAGATGTAAGCGGGGAAAGATGGAGGGGGGCATATCACTGGGTCACAGTAGGATGGGGTGGGACGGTGCTGCCACAGGCTCCCTATTACCTGGAACACCCCCTCCTCGGAGGGCTGCAGCGATTCCCACTCAGGAGAGTCCATGAACTGGTAAGGAAAGATGTAGTGCAGAAATTGCCCATCCTGGCTCACACGAACCCTGGCAAAGGGAGAGAAGAGACCATGTGGGAAAAGGACAGTGACTACCCAAATCTTCTTCAGTCTACATTACATATTTAAAAATGGAAAATGTTGAGAATCCAATATGGGTTTTTTCCTCTTTCCCCCTGAAAACTCAGAGTTTCAGCTTCAACCTCTCTCTAACATGAGTTATACCAGGAAAGGAGGTATCTCTATTAGACAAAGGGGAAGATAAAAAGATCTTTGAGGTATATTCTGTCCATTGGAAAGGAGCTACTGTTTCTTTTTTTTTTTTTTTTTTTTTTTTTTTTTTTTCTGGAGCTTTATTGGCTAAATAAATATTCATGGAGTACCTCCTGTGTTCCTGGAGGTCTGGAAATGCAGAGAAGGGTATGATCTGATCCTTGCCTTTAAGAATTTCACAACTTAGTGGAAATCACAGATGCATAAATAACTGACTGTAGGTCAACCTGTGTTATTGTGGAACAGGAGAATAGAGGAAGGAGAGAAATTAATTCTCTTCAAGAGGCAGATTTCTAAAAGGTGACATTGGAGCTCAGTTTTGAAAAATGAATAGGATGTTGAAAAGCAGATCAGGATGGGAATAGATGGAGAACTGGGAATCCAATGTGTTGTCTGTTTTCCAATATCTGTTTTTTCCCTTCCCCCACAATGCTAGAATTTTAGCTGGGCTTGTGGCTGCTCAACTAGACTGCATTTCCCTACCTCCCACGCAGCTAGGTACAGCCATATGATTAAATTCTGGCCAAATGGGATTATTAGCACTCCAAATCTTGCTCCTAATGAACGCCTAGATATATATGTCTACCTATAGATTACCAAAGACCATCACCAATTAATAAGCTGTTGCCTTTTATCTGACATCCTAAAGATGGAAGACAGAGGGGATATAGCTCTCAAGCCAAGGATGTGGTGTTAGCCTATAGTCTCCAATGGAAGAAACACATTTGCTCTTACAAAACCAGGTAATATATAGAGATAACCAGGCAGAACTTCCCTGAATAATAAGTAGATTCAAGAGAAAATGAAGTGCCATGCTCTCCTACCTCAGGGTCTCCATGGATTCTGTACCCTCCAACTGGATCTCTTCCTAATTTCTACCTTCTCTGTAGATCTCAGCTTAAACATTTCTTCTTGTAGGAAGTTTCATCTGACCTCCCCAGAAAAGTTAAATCCACCAGGTACCTGCTCTCAGTGCACTTTGCATTTCTCTTTGGAAATATTATGTCTGTTATTCATCACTATGTCAAACATTAATTATTGATTTTCTTGATAGCTCCATGAGATAAGAACAGTATTTTTCATATTTTAACACTGGATCCTTAGCCCCTAGCACTCTTCACAAATAATTTTGGAAGGGAAAAAGTAAGAAGGGAAGGTAGGAATGGGGGAGAAAGAAAAGAAGGAAGGAACAATTGAACAGATGAACTCACTTGTGTCACCATAAAAAGCAGACCAACATCTCAAGGAAAAGCTTCTCAAATACAGGAAGAAAGACAACAGGAGAGAATGAGCCTGTTGCTGCATACACCAGACCTTACCAGCTCCTCAGGCAAGGGCTCTGGCCACTCAAGCCAGCTACTAGGAGTGCCATTATTTAGACTATGACATCTAATAAGCCTGCATGCCTCCCTGAAGCCATTTCAATTGGTCTATTATGCTCTTTGTCATTTAAGCCTCTTCTTCCTTCTTGATCTCCTGGACAACAGGTTTTCTTCCTACATGAATAGCTTAGTTGCCTACTCAGGAGACTGTGCATATGAGAGAATTGTGTGTGAGAGAAACTGACCAACAGTAAGCACAGCTTAACAGGGTGATAAACTTTGGGGAATTCCCTTGGCTTTTCTGAGTCTTAAAAGGGACTGGTTATAAATATTAAAATAAAACAAAAAGGACATCTGAGGTTTCAGCAAAGGGCTCTAGATGAGAGTCTGCATGAGAGATGGGGAGGTCTGTACAAGAAGCCCCCACTTCCTGGTATAGAGTTCTTGTTCACAGCTTCAAGGTGTTCAGTACCTAACTGTAACCAGCCCAAGGTACAATGATTGTCCTTTAAAACTGGAGCCTGGTCATAGACTAGAAGCCTTGGCTCCCAGCTCTAACTTAGCAAATTTGAGACAGGAGGACATTGAAAGATAACAAATAAGACTCTTGGGGCACCTGGGTGGCCCAGTTGGTTAAACATCCAACTTTGGTTCAGGTCATGATCTCACGGTTCATGGGTTCAAGCCCTGCATTGGACTATGTGCTGACAGCTCAGAGCCTGGAATCTGCTTGGGATTCTCTGTCTCTCCCTCTCTCTCTCTCTCTGCCCATCCCCTGCTCATGCCCTGTCTCTCTCAAAAATAAATATCTAAAAAAAATTTTTTTAAAGTAAGACTCTTACTCCAAACTTTGAAAAGCAAAGGGGAAAATTGTTAATTTTTTTAAAAATATATTTTATTTATTTATTTTTTTAAAGTAGTGTCCACACCCAACATGGGGCTCGAGCTCACACCCCCAAGATCAAGAGTTGCATGTTCTACAATCTGAGCCAGCCAGGTGCCTCCAAAACTGTTTAATTTTTGATTTGGATTTTTGATGCTAAGTATACTAGGAAAAGCCACACTGAGGGGGCAAGTCCCCCTCTCCCTGTCACGGGGAAGTGGTCTTATATAAGTTCATATTAAATTCATCACATAAAAGATAGCTGAACCATACAATAAGCTTAATATACTTCCATACACATGCATCATACTAGTGGAGAGGGCCTTTCTCCCCCCTGTCTCAATTCCCTCCTTTGAACAGATGAGCCATGAGGAGCAAATAATATCCTGGATCATGAATGAGAATGTTTCCTAAATTGTCTTTATTTTAAGCATGGAACTGTAGGGGACAAATAGTCATATTGTATTTGTATTTACACATGTATTTGTTTATAAATAATGCCACTTGCTTACACTTCACTTTACTCGTGAATGAAATGAAATGTCTCCCCACGAAACCTCATAGCTTATTCAACCCAAGACTTTGAGTCCAAAAATAATCACATGTATACATAACACTTTTGTTTCTACACATTAGTAGATAAATGCATATTAGCACTACCAGTAGTAGTTGTGGTACCATCATTATCATCCTCAAACTTTTTTCTTTTTCACTGTGTGGTTGACAGTCTTATCTGGTTTCTTCCCCACTCCCACCTTGGAATTAAAGCCTTCTGATAAGATTACTATCTTTATCTTTTCTACCACATTCTCCTGGATTCAAAAAAGCAGGGGAGGAAACTGAGGACAAAGCTTTTGAAATACTTTGCTTGCTTTCCACTGAGGCAGCCCAAGTATATACCATGTTAAGTAGTTTACTGTTTGATGCTCAGTCCCACAAGTAAGTCCCTCTAGGGCAATATTTCAAAGATTCCACAAATGCCTACCAAATGTACAGCATAGAACCCCATGGTATTTCTTCTGAAAATATCAGCCATTGGCCAATACACATGTACAGGGTATGATTGGCCATACACTGATCCTGACCAAGATCATTTTTGCTGGGGCGCTTGGGTGACTCAGTTGGCTGTCTGACTCTTGATACCAGCTTGGGTCTCGATCTCACTGTTCATGAGATGGAGCCCCACGTTGGGTTCTACACTGGCAGCAGAGAGCCTGCTTGGAATTTTCTCTCTCCTCTCTCTCTCTCTCTCTCTCTCTGTCTCTTCTCCCCACCCACTTTGCACACACGCGGTTTCTCCCCTTCCTTCCTCTCAAAATAAATAAATAAACTCTAAAAAAAAAAAGATCATTTCTGCTAATTTTTTACTGTCACCCTTCCTAAAAGGAGCCCAAGGTATCTCCACCAAATCCTCAATGAGATATGTGTGGGCATCACTACTCTTCCCTCACTGTGTGGTCTTTATAGTACTTCATATATAGTACTTCACTGGTCTGTAAAAGAATCTCAGTAGAACAAATGGGAATGGAAAAGTGGACAAGGAACATTCCCTCTCCTCATCTGGTTGTATACCAAATGGCTTTACCACAGAGCCTATATATGATATCCTCAACACAATTGGGGCTGTTTCCTTGATCCCTTGGCAAGGAACAGGCACTGTTCCCTGTATATACAGTCAGCACTTAGGAAATACTGAATACATATGAAAGGAACAAATCTACCTCATTGAAATGTTCACTTTTCCAGAGCTTATAGAGATGTTGTGACAGCTTAAGCATGATCCACCAGTGTGTGTATACTGTGTGTGTGTGTGTGTGTGTGTGTGTGTGTGTGTGTGGTCATTTCAGACCCAGGCTGAAGAAACACTCACCCCACACCTCCCAACACCAAGCGCACCCACAGTCCTTCCTGCCAACCAAGAAGATGCCTCATGATCTTGTTTCCTCTTGGAAAATGCTAAGAAAGAGGAACCAAACCCATGCTTAGAAACATCTGTTTTGGTCTGTTTGACTTGCCATATCCTTCCCTCAATGGAAGGGGCCTCAGAATGCAAAGGGACACACTGGGAAATGAGAAGCATGGGCAGAGGGAGGAAATGCTGAGCAGCGACCCAGTAGCTTACCGGCCAGAGAGTAGCAGGGACAAGCGGTTGATGGGTGTCTCACCCTCCACAGCGTAAGTCTGCTCAGTGGCCAGAGTGAAGACCTGCTCCTCACAGCAGTGAACAATCTCCTTGTACACCTGCAGAGGCACCTGCAAGGGTAGGCACAGCGTCTTGTACAGGAGATCGAACTCCTCGGGGAGGGTGTTTTTACGCAGACGGTAGACCAGGTGTGCCAGCTGGAACAGGCAGGCCGTTGCCAGCAGGAAGCTCCAGAGGATGATGTCCAGGCCGCAGGCATCAAACCAGCCCCACATCACGCAGCACACATAGCCTGTGCCCAGGAAGCCAAAGAGGTAGAAGCATCCATACACCCCACTGCCCCCCATGAAGCCCAGGAGCAAGAAGCAGTTGGCCAGATGGTAGACAGCCCCTTCCAGATCCTGCTTCCAGCCACTGCACACTGGGTCCTGCCAGAGAAGCTGGCGCATTGTGCTGCCGTTAGCACTCATCTTCAGGGCGTCTCAAAGCCTTGCTGGGCTTGAAGACTGTCCTCACATAGGGAATTCAAAAAATGAACTAATCTGTCCTCCCAGAGTCTTCTCAGGTCCGGCTTCTCACCGCCAACTCTGCCTTTCCTGAGAGGAATGCTTCCAGTAGCCTTGGGAATAAATGGCAGAACATAGTATACTTCATGGAGAATTTTAAAACTTTTTTCCCTCTCGTTTTCCTTCAGCAAGGTTCTGGCCTTCTTTGCAGAGCTCTGGCAATATTCCTGGGCTCTAGGTTTCTTAGAGCAGACTTCACATTTGGCTCTTAGCAGAAAAATCTAAATTGTCCCGAGGTAAAGATAGGACTATGGGATCAAAAACTTTAGCGGTGAGGGATAAAGTGGCCACATCCTGCTCTCTGTTGTCCCTAGTCAGAATGAGGAGAGCCCAGCACGGGAGGCACACTTGTGTTCCATTTGGAATGCGTCTCTCTTGGCACCGGAAGAAAGGGTGACCCCAGATGGATACCATGTTTGGAATTGGAATCCAAGAGGTACTGGCAGTGAGAAAAAACAGGCCAGGCACACAGGCAGGCTGGCAGAGCACTTAACATATCTCCCCAGAGGACAAGACCTCTGGGCAAGTGAGGCAGGCTGGGGAGAACAAAGGAAAAGTGAGCAGAGAATTTACCACAGTACCGGCAGGCAGGCCCGGTACTGCTCAGAGCTCCGGTGGGGAGGGCTAGGGGCTCTCCTGAGCTGGGAGGGCATAGCCAAGTAGGAAAGTAGGGGACTATTATAAGAAAAAATCCTAACAGTGAGAACTGGAAAACCCCTCAGAAGTCTTTATTAAGTCACATTATAAACATCTCTAGGCATTTATTTGACACCCATTAAACAAAAATGGCTACGCAAAGCAGTTCTTTGAATTCTAAACTGACTTTCTCCTGCATATATCTGGATTTAGGCATAGTTAATACAATGGTACTACAGTGCTCAGATCATCACCCTAAATTTGCAAATTATAATAACTACCACCCATTAAACGGCCTACCCGGTGCTGGACCTCAATTAGGTACTTTACATAGATACTATTTAGTCATCATACAACCCCTCCAAATAAATATTATCTTCCTTCTAGATCTAAAAAAAACTGAGGCTCACCTAAGTAACAAGTTCCCATAGGCAGTAAGTGGTCCAGCCAGGATCTGATCCCAAGTCAGACTCAGCGCTGTGCGCCAAGCAGTTTGCACAGCAAGTAGAAATAGAATAGATCCATGACTCCCAATCCCACATGCACCCTCCCCCACCCGCCAGAAGTCTGATGACATCCAAGGAACTTCTGGATGAACCTGGGGTCTATTTTGGGTCCCCAAAAAATAAATCTGGAGTATGCAAATATTAAGACATGTCCCTCTGGCTTCCAAATGACTCCTTGATTTTTTCCCTTGCTGCTACTTAGTATTTATTATCATTCTATTGCCCTTGAGACACTTTGGGGGGGGTGTGGTACCCAGTAACTTTCCAAAACTATTTGAGTGCTCAATCCCCAGGGACTTTTATTATACTGCTGATAACCAAACCAAAATTAGTGAGAAATTAGAAATTGTCAAATATGCTGAGGAGTGGAACTTTTTAGCTCAACAAATATTTACTGGGCCCCTGCTATGAGCCAAGCACTCAGAGAATCAGATTCCTAAGAGCTTTCACTCAATCAAGAGAAAGACACTTGAAAAAACAACGGCAATTCAGTGTTGGGAACAATAACTGAGTTAAGTTTAAAGAGAGGTGGCTGCCTAGAAGGAAACATTGGGTACAGGAAAGAATACATACGAGCTAATGCTGGGTTTGAGGCACAGGCATTGAATTAACCAGGTAGGTAGAGGGAGAAGAGCATCTCTAGTGGTCAGAACAGCAGAGGTAGAGCCGTGGAGTTGTGAAAATGCATGGCATGTTAAAGGAAGCCCGTTTTTTCTTTTCTTTTCTTTTTTTTTTTTAAATTAAAATCGCTTGACCAACCAATGTGTACCTTACTCCCTTCTTTCTAAAGTTGAGGGGGGGAAATCAGTGGTAAAGGAAAAGAGCTAGAGAGTGCCTGGAGAAGGAAAGGCCCTGCCCCAGTCCTCCTCTCAGCGATGACTTGGATGTCATTTGAGCAGCAGAGTGTGGGGATTTCCATACACTGCTTTTATGTCACCTGCCTGCCTCCCAACCAACCACTGACTTCGGCAAGCAGCAGCTGCTCATCCCTCCACCTTAGTCACGCACCCAGAGCTGCCAGGGCCGCCGTCCCTGCCAGCTATGAGCCAGGAAATCAGAAGCAGGAAAGAAGAAGCAACCAGGGCCCTGCCCAAGATAACATTTCAAAGCAGGTCGTCTTTCTCGGCATGCCTGACCGATGGGCTGGCCCTGACCCTTTAAAGAGACAGACGGACCCACTGACTGTTATTCTCAGCCTGCCTTGTCAGTCCACATACGTGCTCATCTGAGCAGAGGATGCTACCATCTATCAAGCAGTCATTGTTTCCTCATGTCACGCCATGACACCTTTCTTTTTTAAATGGAAGAAACAAACTCTGAGAGGTTAAGGAAGGTCAAAGAGCTAGCATGTCAACTACAGGGCAGGTCATTTGAGTTGTATGTTCTCTGTGTTGTCCCACCTTGCCAAGTACGTTTGGGAATTTATATGCTATGGGGGATTTTAGCATGCTGCTGGTGGTGTGGCCTCACTGGTACATAAGCCCCAGAGGCTGTCACGATAGTGATATTGTTGCCTGAAGGACGGAACCTATGATGGGAATACGACAATGCAAAGTTGTGTCTTGTTTGTTTTTAAATCCAGATGACTGAAGAGGGAAAACATTTTGTGTCAAAATGGTATGTTCTTATAAGGAAATCCATAAATATGCGGGTGGAAGCACAGAAGAAAATATTGGGGGAGAATAAAAGGAAACAAACAGAAGTCACACATTTATGGTATTGATTCAATCCCATAAGCATTTATTTAGGGCAAAGTATGTACACCAAGCACAGGGGATATAAAGATGAGCAAGACAATTGTCACCTTCAGGGAACTTTTGGTATGATGAGGAAGAGTGACCCAGAAATAACTGCAATCCAATAAAATAAGTGTATTTGGGGTTCAAAGGAAACCCAAAGGATTGGGGAGAAAGGATTCAGAAAAAACATCACAGGGAAGGTGACATTTAAGCTGGTCTAAAAAGATGACTAGGTGTTCCCCCAACTAGGGGAGGGCATTCCGGGAAGGGAGAACAGAATGTGAAGTCAAGTCCAGAAGTAAAACAAAAATACACGGCATATTCTGGTAACAGAGTATAGCCTGCTTTAGGTGAATCAAAAGGAACAGCAGGACACGAGGTGGGAGAGGCAGGCTGGGGCCAGATTATGAAGTCAGCTGGCTAAACTGTCCCTCCCAGTGTGGCAGTGAACCATGGCTGGTGTGTGAACGGTTACTGTCCCATGATGACATAAGGGAAGAAACAGAGAGAATTTAGACATTTTTATAGCAATTTGACAGAGAAAATGGCCATTAAATTCAATAAAAACTTTGGGCTTGCATAATGTATGGGTTTTTTAAGTGTATTCCCACCCGCCTCCATCTCCTTAGTAGTGGTTGTTAATTGGAAAATATTAAACCACATACACTTTGAAAAACACTGAGCTTGAAATTAACATTTTCCTAATATATATTAAAACAGAACACAGGCATGATGTAGGCTTTAGACACACACTGCCAACGCGACCTTGGGCAGACACCACCGATTGTCTATCCGATAGCCATTCCCCATTTTTCCTTAGTTTATGGAACTGTGATCTTGCTTGGGCAATATGTTAAAGAAAGGTGGGCTTCTCCCCCACTTGCCAGGGCTTGAAATAAGGCTGGTCAAAGCCAAGGACGATATCCCATTCCCCTTGATGGCAACTGGTTTACGTGTAGGCGTGTGACAAATGGGATATAAAAGGAAGAGCATGTAGGAGCTTCTGGGGGAAAAGTATACTTCCTGACAGACAGTAAGAAGTCCTGCTACCTTTTATCCTGGCTTGAATATACTTGTGCAGTGATGTAATGCTTGGAGCTACCATGAGATATGATAGCCATGAGATATGATATACTTAAGGATGAGGATAAAGAGCTGAAAGATAGAATAAACCAGTTCTCAAAAGTATGACTGAGCCACTATCTCAAATCTGGAACTTTCAACCTCCAGACTTCATGACAGGAAGTAAACTGCACTTACTGCTTAAGCGCTTAGTTAGGTGTTTTGGTATCTGCAGTTGAATGCTTTTAGATTCAGATCTCCCTTAAGATCTCCAAAAGGACTACTCTTCAGGAAAGTTCTCTGAACATCTGCTGATTGTTTTATTCTATGAAAACTGAACATTACACAACTTATTGTGTTCTACTAATACTTTTCTGTCAAAAATTTGAGTAAACTAGGAGAGGAAATGCTCCTTCAAACTCAATTTGACCATTCAGAATGACTCGGTTAAGTGAACAAGATGGTTTAGTGGAAAATTGGTTGCCTACTCAAAATCCACTTATCACTTCCTCCTTGTTACAGAATTCCAGTTTTGTGCTGATATCTAATTATTATATATGAATCCATGGGCGGGAGTGGGGCAGGGATCCCGTTTAAGTCGATCAGCATAAGGCATTCTGTTGGCAACTATTATTAGTCTATAAAAATGCACATAACCTAATTTGGCTCAGACTTTAAAAAAAAAAAATCATGCCTTGGGAATGGCTTCTTTCTTCTGCTGGACTTGAATAAAAAAGCACATGATTTCTTCAGTCCTGGAAGCTCTGAGATGAAAATACTTGAGTCTTGGATGGTATCATTGAACCTATGATATTGTTTCATCTAGAGCTTGTCCTAACTCTGGACTTCTAGTCATATGAGTTTCCCTTGATGAGGATTTTCTATTACTTGATTTCAAAATCACCATGATGCACACAGATGGAACTACCAGCTAGCTAGTTTTTGATACCTAAAGAAACCCTGGGTAGTCACACATGCACTCTTTTTAGGAAAGCTTCTTGGAATAGTCATCATAGTACTATTTAACTTTATATATTTGTAGTTTATATACATGTATCTACTAGATTATAACTCTTTGACAGTGAGGACCATGTCTTACTAACCTTTGTTCATTATTTAGCACATAGTTAGCATATTATTATGTCCTCAATAAATGTCGAGTCAAATAGCCCCTCATCTCCTTGAGGACAAGATGTATGTCTGATTCACACATGAGTATTCAATATCTAGGGCAGTTCCCTATATATAATACAATTTCACTAAATATGTACTGAATGAATAAATGAATTTATAACTATGAATAGGTTTATATTAGTTGGTACAGGAGAGAACATTGGGCTTGACCTCTACTCACCAAGACTCACATCCCAGGTCACCAGCTGTTTGACCACAGCAATTTCCTTAAACTGAGTACCTCACTCACTCACTTGTAAAATTTTTCCAACAGCCTTACATCACACCAATGAAAGGTATAGTTATCCTAAGGTAAGCCCTGCTTAGGGTCATAGTCCCATTCTCATCAACCTTCCAGTCAAATGTTAAGGTTAGAAAAAAAGAAATGGTTAGAAAGAATGGTGTGACTGTGTCTGTATTAAGAGTTTGGGAATTACTGTGAATAGCAGGGGTTTAGCAAAGATGTATGTCAGAATGTTGTGGTCACCTACTAGGAAGTGAAGTGCTTCATTTTTCAAATTACTGTGGTAACATCTCTTACTTTTATTAGTACCAAAATGCTGTGCATAATCTTTGGGAAGGCTTAAGCATTAGGGAAGGATGGGCAGAAGGTCTTGTGAGATGGATTTCTAACTGTGGCAGATGTCAAGAAGTGCTTTAGTTCCTTTACATATCGTGTGAGCATATCAAACTGGCAAAAGCTGAAAAAAATTAGCCTTGCTAAGAACTTAGGGAAATGGGCACCCTCAGATACATAGGTGCAAATGGGTATAACCTTTCTAGAGATCAGGCAGGCAGTACTCATCCAAAACGAAAACACGTGGAGCCTCTGGTCTATCCTTAGCTAAGTGATTGCTTAAGGATTTGTAAAGGATTCCCTATGGAAACTTCCAATGCATATTATGGAGCAGCCAAAAAAAAAAAAAAAAAAAAAAAAAAAAAAAAAAGTAAAAGTATATACATGCAGAAAGAGATGAAAGGCAAGGTCACTAAAAACCAGTCCTATTGTAGACTAGTGGGATTTCAGGTGATTTCTTCTTTTCTTCCTTACATGTTTCCATAAAACCAACCAATGAAACAAAATACAAAAGAAAAAACAAACAAAACAAATAATTTAGGCATCAGGTTTAGGTCCTGTTCAACACTGATGCTCAATTTCGTGAATGCTATTGGACATTTAGCAAGCATTCTACAAAACATTTGTTTAATAAATGAATGCACAAACAATAGGGAATTGGTTAAATTATTCTAAACTCAGAATGGATTCGTACATAGCCAATACAAATCATATTTTAGGACTATATTACAGGCTGGTAAAATTATCAAGGAGAAAAAGAAACTAATATTATGATTTTATTAAAAGTAAATAGCATAGAAAAATGACCTAATTTTTTATTTTAAAAAATGTGTAAATGCCTAGGAAAAGCCTGGAAGAGCATACAGCAAAAATTAACACTGGATGGTAAGTCTGTATTTTCTCCCTTTTTGTAGTTCAGGACATATTCAAGCAGAATCTGGATGACCATCTGCCAAGGACTGGTGTTGGATGGAAGCTGATTTTTATCTTAGGAGTCCAAGATTCTATTTTTCACCTAGCAGAATGCTCTGAAAGCTATGAAGTACTTACTAAAAGTATTATATCCAAATATTCAGGTGAAAACATGAGTAGAGAATCAAAAAATTAGAGAATGTTAATAACACTAAATGCTACTGTGCCAAATGCTTTATATACACCATTTTAATTAGTGCTCACAATCTTGCACATTACTACACTTTTTTAAGTTTATTTATTTTGAGAGCAAGAGCACATGAGTGGGGGAGGGGCAGAGAGAGAGGAGAGAGGGAATCCCCAGCAGGCTCTGCGATGTCAGTGCAGAGGCTGACGCAAGGCTCAATCTCACAAACCATGAGATCATGACCTGAGCTGAAACCAAGAAGATGCTTAACTGACTGAGCCACCCAGACGCCCCTTTCAGATGAGGGAAACAGATCCAAAGAGGTTGTGACCTGCTTGAGATGACACAGCCAGTTGTTGAACCTAAGTCTGTTATACTTCAAAGCCATGCTTAATTAACTAGAAGGAATCCTAAAGAATACCTTAATTCAGCTCCTTTATAAAAGAGGCAATTTTCCCATCATAGAATGACATATGAACACTACATATTCTCTTATGTTCTTTAGTATCTTTTGTTGTTGAAATATGAAACTCAACTTACTAATAGGCAGAATATGGCCAATTTCTTCATTAGCCCATAAGCAGCTTCTAGAACCACAGGGTTGCTATAGCAAGCAAACCAAACTCCATGTTCTATCCCAGGCATTATTATAGCAGAGCACTGAGCTAATTTCACTGATGACTTATTTGTTCTAGTCAAGCCTCTGACCTGGGCGAGCTTTTAATCAATAAGAGACAACTGTCTGGCCAGTAGGCATTAAACTATGATCCCCTAGTCTATCTTAAAATGTAACTAGACATCTACAGATTAATTATGCCAAACAGTTGAGATCTTCTGAGCCAAGGAATCCTAATGTGATCCAAAATCTAAGCGAGTAACTTTCCCAAAAGACAGACTAGTAAAGAATAATAATAATGATCTAAAATATTAAGATTGAAGGCTTGTCCAGTTCTTGCTTTTAAGTAAGTTAAAAATAAAAAACAAAATGTTGAATGAGATGATATGGGTACCGTACTCATTCTGAATTGGTAAAGGGTTATTTCCTTACTTCTATGCACCTCATTTTGGAGGTTTCACTGAATGAGATCAGGATCTGCTTTCTCGTTACAACTAAAATCTAGAGTTCCCAGAATGACACAAGAACATAAGAAATTAATATTACAGGATTTTTTTTATACTATATCCTTTAAGAAAAATAAATGCCATGTGAGGACGTGAGGAACACAAAAAGAGACACACTTGAAGATTTCTGACCAGAGATAATTTCCTTTTTCTAAAAATAAGTTATAAATACTTTTTCCATTTATCAAAGTTCCACAAATTCCCAAAATTACTGAATCTTCTTCATTCTTCAGGAATTATTCATTCACAGAGTAAACCACCTACAAAAAAAAATTATATTAGAAAATTAGATTTTAAACATCATGCCAGACCTATGGAATTAGGGAATTAAGACCAGTAGAAATGAATGCCTCAGCCAAGTACTATTAACCAATTGCCACAATAATTCTAAACCAGTCATGAAATAAAAGACACAGAGTCTTAAATTCTAGTTTTGCCTAAAAAGCCTCACTGAAACTGTTCAATCCATTTTTTCATCTTTAGAAGTCTGTTAAAGTAAAAACTATACATATTTATTTATTTACTCAAAAATATCGTCCCAAAAAGTCCAGAGCAGTGTATTTTTACAGATATTCAAGAGAAGAGACTTTGCAAACCCTTCGTTGCTGATTCAAGTATGTTTGGCAAAGATCCACGAAGTGGATAGCAAAAGGTCAGTTCTGTATACAAGGTGCTTCCTGTGGAAAGTTACTCACTTTATCCCCAGGGCAAAATAAGGGTAATGTTTTGAATCCACTTAGAAATCAGAAAGGGAGAGTAGGAGAGGATAGGGTTGCTGGTCTAAGTCAATCACTACCATGCTTCTCTCCAAACAGTTCTCACCCACCCTCACCCCCAGTCCCTATCCCAGAAGGCAGAGAGAACAATGCTTCAAAAAGTAATTTGGGCTAGCCAATTCTTCAAGTCCAATGAAAGTGCTTCCTTCATCTAGCCAGTATTATTCCCAGTATGTGGTTTAGAAAACATAAGCCTGATCAACAACACAAACATCTAACCTGTTTTCTAAAAGGCTAAAAGGAAGAATACACTTAAGGAAGGGTTTGAGCAGGAAAGATAACCAAAAATGAAGCCACTCAACATTGTAAGAGACAGCAGTCCACAGCACTGTTACCTCTTTTGCCACTAACTATATCTCAGGAGGGGCTACTCCTGAAAGCTTCTGATGTCAACCTCTTGGTTATATATCTGGGTGTAAAGTCCTTGACAGAAGAGACCTTTCTCATGCTGGCATTTTCTAGGTATTAAACAAACAATAAATATCTATTGAATAAATAAATGTTTAAATAGCAAGGAAGGACACTTTTGCTGGATTTTGTTGGAACCATATTTTCATACATAATCAGTTGTATGTGTGTATATGAAATCAGCATATTTTAAGCATACTTTAACCAAATATTAAGTTCTGTTAAATAGTAAATACTGAGTATCCCCACTGCCTGGTGCTAGTCCTTTCATTTCTTTCAATGATTTTAGCACCCAAACTGGGTTCTCAAGGTTCCTTCTAACTCCTAAAGGCAGAAAAACAGACACTAGCTGTTAATGTTCCTCTTTAACATTTCTAAGTAGGTTCTAGGTTCCTCTAGTTTTTCTTTCAGTAAAAGAAATAGTCCTAAGATAAAAGAAAGTGTTTAGAATCACCACCATCATCCACTTATTTTTCCTTAAGAGCAGTTTTCAAGTCACTGCCTTTGCTACTATTAAATCTTTAGATAGTTTATACTTAGCAATATCCCTGCTACTTCTTCAGTTTAAGCCAATGGTTCCTTAAGAAGGGTCCACCTGAAAATTATCTAGGAGTTTGAGTCAACAGGAGATCAGGGCCCAGGGCTTGTGAATTTTGGAAAACAGTCCTCAGGTGATTACAAAGTGCACCTCTGGCTGAATGTAGCCCACATTTATATTAACTCCCAATCTACTAAATTCAAGGTACAATTAACACCTGTCTTATTTAGGCTATAACATTAAAATCTACAAAGGTTTTTGAAGGAAGGAACTTTCATGATCATTATTGGGAAGATCTAGGTTTGCAAAAATATTTTTCCTTTAAAGCTATCATCAGAAAAATGTGGTCTAATAGTCTAAAAGATATCAATTTAGTTCGGTTTATCTTATAACAATGTAGATAGTGTTGGATTTTACAGCCAATGACCTGGTTATTGAGTTATATATACCTACACATTTCAGCAACAGGTCTTTCTAATTTGCATTCATAATAAAGTTTTAGGATTGAAGATCAAGACTATGTGCAGTCCTAAAAATGAGTAGGCTGGTAACCAGACCTCATTAAGTGCAAGGAATGAAGTGTAAAGCATCCATGCTTTGGAGAACATAAAAGACCTAGACTCTAGTTTTAATTCCACCAGCTACCCATTCTTAACTTGGACAAGTCTTTTTTTGACTTCACTTTTTGTCCATTTCCCAATGGGGGTTGGGGAAATAGGATACCTGGGACCAAAGCAGATCCAAACACCTGTTCCTCTTCCAAAAGCAGTAGTATGCTGAAAATGAAAACATGACATCTGAATTCTAAGAGAAGCCCTACATGGATTCAGATTGTTCTTGCCATAATTGGGATTCAAAAACACATAATCAGGTCATATAACCAACAGACCTCAATTGGATGTCTGCTATCCACAACTCCCAACATATGGGCTATTCCGTTCTGGCTTCTATTTGATAGTTTACAAATCCTATTTGTACACCTGTCATTTAATCATCACAATGACTCTTTGAAGTAAACTAAGGTTAAGAAAGTTAAGGACTTGCCCAAGACCACACAATCAGTTAAACATCAGGTTTTCTAAGTCCAAAGCTCTTGCATTTTCTTTTACACACAAATGAAGTACACAGGTATCCCTCTCACTTTGACCCAATAATATAAAGAAAACTATGATATTTTCTAGTCCTTGTGAATTTGTGCTAATTATGACAACAGTTGTAGCACTTTTGTGGTAGACATGAAGTCCAAGAGATGCTTCTGATGCTCCTAAAATTAGCATTTTTAAAAATCACCCTTTTTATCAAGACAGGCTTGGCATTAGCACCAACACTTTATACAACTGCTTAGGAAAAGAGTAAGAATATAAACAAGGAAACCGTGTACAAATGTTGAGATTCCAGGTCTTTAAAAATAATCAATAGGTATAATTATACTTTTAAAGAACACCCCCTCCCCCCCACACACACCCAAACTTACTTATTTTACAAAATGATTCACTATGGAATTTCTTTAAATAACCATGTAATCTAAAAGCCACTTAAGTATGTCATGTACACACAGAGTAGATATACCATACTAAATATAAAAATCACAAAATATGTTATGGGTCTTTTTATAAATTAAAAAAGTGAAATCCACAGAGGTTTAATGTATTGATGAATGTTAAATGTAGCTGAAGCAAAATACATGCTAAGCTAGACAATCAAAATTAAGCCTCAGGACTTTCAGCCTAGACTATTTTCTACTACATAGTGATACTTCTTATCAGCTTGGAACAGGTTCCTTATCTGTCCTTTTTTTACAGCTCAATGAGTAAGACTAGCTATGTATGAAATTCTAAAGAGGCAGTAGAGAGGTGAAAGAGAAAGAAACCAGGCTATTACTGTTATATTAGTATGTGACTTTGACATTATCTCTCAGCTATTATTAAGTTAAAACTGGCAATGTGATATGGATGTTGGGCAGTGGAAGGGGTGGGCAAAAAGCAGAGGGAATCTGCCTGGAGACACGAGGTTGCAGATCTGATCCTGCAACTTACCTTGGAAGTCATTCCATATCTATAGGCCTTAGTTCCTCATTTATTTATTCATTTAATTAATATTCCTCTGTTGAACACCTACTATGTGACAGGCAAAATTATAGGTCCTGGGAATATGACAGTGAGTAAAGCAGAAAATTCTTTTTTTTTTTCTATTAGAAAACCAGTATGTTCTGAAATTTTTTATTTATTTATTTTTTAATTTAAATTTTAGTTAACATACAGTGCAATACTGGTTTCAGGAGAATTCAGTGCTTCATCACTTACATACAATAGCCAGTGCTCATGACAACAAATGCCCTCCTTAGTACCCATGTTTTAAAAAATGTTTATTGATTTATTTTGAGAGAGACAGAGAGAGAATGAGCAAGCAGAGGAAGGGCAGAGAGAGGGAGAGAGAGAATCCCAAACATGTTCTGAGTTGTTCCCCATAGAGCAGGACTCAGGGCTCCATCTCATAAACTGTGAGATCATGACCTAAGCCAAAGTCAAGAGTCAGATGCTCAACTGATGGAGCCACCCAGGCACCCCAAGCAGAAAATTCTTCTCAGAGCTTACATTGTAGTCGCAGTAAAACAATGCAGATAATAAATACATACCTAATATACAGGCAGTGATGTTAAGAGTAGCCACTGGCCCTATGTGGCTATTAAAATTAAAATTAAATAAAACTAAAAATTCAGTTCTTCAGTTTTACTACCACATTTTAAGGGCTCAGTAGCCACATAGGGCTAGTGGCTACCAGAGTGGAGAGTGAAGGTACAGAATATTTTCATTATCACAGCAAGTTCTACTGGATAGTGCTGGGACAGAGTGATGGGGAAGGGATGTTATTTCAGATGGGAGTGTTAAGTGAAAGCATCTCTAATAAGGAGACTATGGGACAGAGAACTAGGAATGGGTTAAGTTGCTATCTGAAGAATGAGTTCCAAACAAAAGATCATTTATCTGTGGTATTGCTGTATACACATAACTTAAAGTCCCTTTCAGCATTAAAATTTGGATTCAAAGTTCTTTTAAAAAATGGTCTGTTGGGGCGCCTGGGTGGCGCAGT